TTTAGTTCAATATGATCAAAATCCTCAAAGAGTTGTTGGGGAATGCTGCGGAAGTGAAAGTTCTTGGCCAGATATAAATATGGATCCTTTGGCTTAGGTATGCTCGCTGTCGTGATAACCTAGCCGCCTCCATAACTAAATCGGCTAGTTTGTAAATCGTTGTCATCAATCTCAACTAATGGTAGACGCAGTAAACGTGCTTTTTCGTCGGTCGGAGCAAAAGAAAGGGAGTATTAGCTTAGAGGGCTGGATGGTGCCGTGTTGATGCCTACAACCTGCGTCGCTTTATGTATCTTCCAGGTAGCTCGGATTCTACTCCCTTTTTATGCCGCCTCAACTTCACTTTCAAAACTCCCTTCGTTGCACCGGTGTGTTTCGAATCGAATGTTCAATGATTTCAAATTCATATAGAAAAAATAAATTTATTTGTAATTTGCATTCCTAAATTTTATGAAAAGTAGTTTAAAAAAATTATATTGCATTGCATTAAACCATAAAGAGGATATTTAAAAAAAAATTAGAACTACTTTTTGCTAAGTTGGTGAGATTAAAAAAACTACAAACCACGTCTCTACTACTGACTAACGCATCGCCCATACGACTGCCTCCCAACTGACGTCAGCAACGGGCAGATACAAAGCAAAGTATGCCACGTCAACGCCGCACGCACAAGGAACTTGTGGATCTGGCAAGCCTAGTCGAACGCGCCCAGCCGCAACAACATCCTTACAGAGGCGGTCCATCACGTGTCCAATCACGTCATAAGCGCGCCCACATTCTCAACAATCGCAGTCGCAGTCATGAGGTACGCAGCGGTCACACTAGTCGCAATGCCGTTATTGGCGTTGGTACGTATGCTGTTTGGAATACGCTTGTACAGCCGATCTCAATACTCCAGTGGTTACCACTGCGGCGTTCCATGCGCATACGTCGTAGTTGTCGCAGTCGTAGTCGACGCAGTCAACGCAACAAAAGCGACGGCAACAAGAGCCATTCTTATGTACCGAAAACTGGCAGCCAGTTACGCATGCCCGATGCTGCAATAGAAATACCATGCTGTACGACTGAATTACCCATAGCAGAAGTGCAAATGATGAGCGATAACGAGGAGAGCCGTCAACAGCAATGCAGTCAGGAGCATACATTAACGCCGCCAATTAGCACGTTCATTTTGCACAAGAATCCGCTATTCGATGGTGAGGGCAATACGCGCTCCGGCTTGATTGATGGGAACGTTCAAAAGGCAAAATTCGATAAAGCAAAGAGTAGATGGAATGTTCGATGTGAGAAAACTCCAACGCAACAATCTGTAAGAAACTCAGAGCTGCAGGATGCAGCCAAGACGAAGAAGACTGCCGATGGGAAGACGGTGCCTGAGAAAAAGGGTAGCGGTACGGAAGATTCGAGTGCTGCGTCGATGAATTCGCCATCTTCTGGAGATTCCGGTACAAGCAGTGAGAAATCGAAAACCGCTACAGAGGAAAGCAATTCATTTGAAGATCGTGTCGATTCGGCAACGCAAGCTCCAACCGTAGTGTCGGAGACTGCAGTGCCGGTGTTAAATTTGAAAGCATCTGACACGGCTGGGAGGATGGTGGCGAGTAGTGGGTCAATTGGAGGCACAGTATTGTTAGATTTAACTCAGCCGACACAACAATCACTACAGATAAAGGATGAGTCCGTCAGCAGGATTTCAGGGAACTATGATGGGGTTGGCCGATTCGAAGGCAATGCCAAAAAATTTTGAAACTATGCTTAGAAAGTAATTTCGAAATGGGGACTTAGCGTGTAATTAACGAGTATGCAAGTGTTGTTACTGTCCACTTTAATATATGTATGAAATAAAAACAAATGTATCTATACAGCTAAAAACTTTTTCAGATAATCTTTTCGTAGTCGTGCTTATGAATGAGTTCATTTCTACGATATCCGGATGAAGCGTGCAGTATTTGCATGTCCGATGGTTGTAGAAGCTACGCCACTACTACCATTACTTCCTATTAGTAATTAAGTACTATGTACATCTAATCTTATAGTGTAGGAGTGGTACTCTTCTACGGCACTAGCATATCGTTCAAGACCTGGCTTTCTTACCTCTCTGGGATCTCTCGATTTTTCAAACAATCTCCATACGAATCTATTGACAAATACTTCATCAGTTCCACAACATAATCTGTTCTTGCCGACATCGTGAGGCAGTCTGATTGTAGAAAAATCGCCGGCGCTAAATTAGCACGCGCAACATTTTTTCTTCCGAGCGGCACTACAAAACGTAGATCAACAATTGCTTGTAAACTGGGCAGTTCTCGTGTTGTCAATCGAAAATCGCTATAGCGACTAAATGTCGATGTGTAGTTAAAATGATGTATAATATCCTCATACATAAACACTGGTACATTGCGCGGAGACTCCTCATGCAATAACGCCCAGATCTGGCCTGGCTTACGAGGTAGTGGCAAGTCATTCCACTGCACATTGCTGCCATAAAAGAGTATCGCCTGTGTCACAATAAAAATATGTTTTTCAACAAAATAAAAATAGCAGCTGCTTCAAACTCACCTTGGCTCTTGATAGATATCGTCGATCGCCAGTCGAAAAACATGCGTTGTAGCCGCACAAAATTGGACGCGGCTCATATTTTCCCAATCCATTGTCAGTCCACCAGAGTACTACACATGGCGAGCTATCGGGATTCGGCGCATATTTCTTGCGTGCCCAGATGTGAAATGAAGATGTCTATTTTATATTAAAAGCGAATATTTTTCTCTTCGTACATAACATGGCATATTTTACTTACATTTATGAGCCAAGTTATAGCAAAGCCAACAAGTAGCGTTAGAAGGAGAAGCACCCGCTTAGCGAAGGGAAAATTTCTGCCTTTAAAATGCCTCCAAATGCCCATTTTAAGAATGCAAGAAACTTATTTATAGTTCTTGTCAAATTTTACATAATTTATAGATATCCCTCTGTTTTTCATTTGAGCTACATATGCGCCACATCAACTCGATCGGTATTATTTGTTCAATTACTAATAACAAATACGCGCGTGTATTGAGGCGTGCTTATCTCGCTAGGCCAGGGAATAATTTCCGGCGCCAATGACTTTGGTTTGTTCAGTCGAAATCGCGTATTTGCATTACAAGCAGACACACAAATGATCACAGTATAAAACAATTTTTATTTTTTCATTTTGGCAACCGGCCGTACATTTTGGCCTGCATATTTTCCCAGTTATCGAACAATTCACTTCCTATGCCATACTGTGCTCAAATGTCGTTGAAAATCTAATAGGAATAATTTGTAAACGAAAAAGATTTACTTTGACAAATTAACCGCAACTCAAACTTTTGTTTTTCCTACAGCGAACAGCTGATTAGTTGACAATCGCCAGCTAGAGATTTAAAAAATCAGTAGTGGTCGGTAATTTGCTATTGCAATTCTAACACTTGTTTCAATATTGGTGTTTATTATACTCGTTTAAAATTAGGGGAAATGTTCAGAATCTTTGTACAATGGGTTGTGTTTAGGAAGGGGCCGGTGGGGGAGAGTGTATGGCACTTTAAAGCCTACCCATTATTTACTGTCGCTTGTGGAGACTGCCCATTAGGGTTCGAAATTTCAGACTTTGGTATCGATACTGAGTACTCATTCTGGCATCGAGCTCATGGTATCGATACTCTAAAAGTATCAGGGAAAAAGTATCGATACTACTCAGTATCGGACTCATTAAAATACTTAAATTATTTTATTCTTCAATCGTATATCTAGTTATTTCCTGAAATTAAAACAACAGAAATTTAAAATATTTGATTTTCATGACTCAATCCTTATCCATTCGTTCTGAAATACACTAGCCAGAATTGCGATTACTTTATAAAAAAGAAAACCATTTTGAAATATGAGTGTTTTTACACTCTAGAAAATAATTTCTATAACTTTACATACGCAGTTTTGCATTTTGCTGATACGCGGTATTGCATTTTGTTGATACGCGGTTTTTCACTTTAAACGACGATATATATATATGTATATATACATATATATATACTTTCACGAATTCAAATTTTATTAAGAAGTTTTTTGTAAACTTTTTTTGAATGCATTTTTGTGTCCTATTGAATTTTAGTATAATAATGTGGAAGTTTGAATTAAAACTCAACGGTAGTAGGCTACACGTAAACTTGAATAGGTTACAAAACTGCATACCCAAAAAGTTTCTAAAAATTCTGCGTTTTCGTGAACTTTGCGTAAAGTTTTATGGCCTTATTCATAAAAAATAAAAAAGGTATCAGTGTTGCCGCCGCTCAAAGAACTTTCTAACCAAGATTTGACGAAAAAGTTACCAAATGTAAGGAAAAATAACCATTTTTTTTATTAGATTAACAACTCAGGTAATCACAAACTCTTTTATATAGTACGTATAGACAAATTTTTCAAACCAAAGAAAATCAATTTTTATTTGCATTTTTGAAAAGTAAATCCTTTTAAGGCTGAAAATAAATGAAATACATTCATATATAAGTATATATATATAAATACATATATTAGAAAATCAGGCTTCCCGTATTAGGTACATATGTATGTTAATATCTTCGTAAACATTACCAGACTCTAAATGACGTTTTTAAATAAGTACATAGGTACACAGTTTCCAACTTCTTTGTAAGAATCAATGAAATACCTAATCAGCGTGAACAACCACATTGTAAATATTTTTTAATTAAGATTAAACAATTAAAAATTGGACTGCATTGAACTATATCGTCGCTCAGCGCGAAGTACCTCGTATACGCCAAACGCAGTATCGCGTATACGATGGTAACTAAATTTTACAAAAGCGCGAAAAACCGATTTTTTCAAAACTGTGGAATGGTATTTCCCTTGAACCTACTTGCTGTAAGATTATTATTATTAATCTTAACTTAAATTAATAAAGTAAGCAGTAATGGAAAAATAATTACCAAATCACTTTTTTATTGTACATACATGACGTGGTATAGGATTCCGCATATACGAGGTATTTATATATGTACTATCTGAGTATGTATTCATTTGAAGTAGTCTTTAGGCGACCATGTATATTCTGTATTCTATATATTATAAAACAAATACATACATATGTAAGTAATATTAATACAATGATTCTAAATATTCTCACTTGGTTTCACTGCTGGGGCTGCCACTGCTGCTGCTACTCTCCTCAACCTCGACAGGTGTTGCTGGCCTATGTCTTATAACGAACCTAATTGAAAAGTTTTTTGGAAATACATATTATACAAAATAAAACCAAAATTGTGTATTTTTTCTCACTTATCCATAGAATTGAGCCCGTATAAATTAACTTGAAACACCAATTTTGCGCGGAATTCTAATAATTTTTCGCGGCTTTTTAATGACTCTCATATTACTCAAATGTCATTTCAGGCACATACATATTATGTAGGTGTGTGCAAAGAACAAAGAAACGGTGTAACTACGGGGCCGTTTCAAAAGCTTGGCGATTAATTCACCGCGATTTATTAAAGATACGACCCGACAAGAAATGACTCGTTACAATTATAACGTGTTGTCTCTTCTTATAGATTTACGTTCTTTGGACCCGATAATAGTTGCACCCTCGAACTTTTACATGTTCTTTTGCATATGTAAACACATGATTATTATCGGAATAAGTCGAATCTTGAGTTGCCATTTTAGTAGTAATAACTTTAGTTAAATAACCAATATTGAGCAGAATAAATGTATTTGTTTACACTATTTTTCAAAGATTTAATTATTGTATGTATACAAAAATTAGAAACTACAGTAAATGTTAAAAATAACCAAAATGGGAAAGATATTAACAACTTCACAGGCAAGAAAAAAATAACCAAAATTGGTTAAAAGTAACCAAAACGGCAACACTGAAAGGTATATAAACTGAAAAATTTATGAAAATGTAATTTTATTACGCTCTTTAAACCTACTTTATTTTTTATGAATAAGGCCATTAAACTTTAACTTATTTGGTTTATGTTATACAACAGACTACACGCAATTTCAGTTTATTTTAAGTGATGGACAAAATTGAATGATAGTAATCCATATAAGCAAAGAAAATTGGGTTGCCAATGGAAGAAAAAATTTAAAAAGTCTGTTTTTTAATAAGTATTCGATACTACGACTACTTTGCAAAGTATCGAGTAAAATCAGAGAACTTAGATAGATAGAGAAGGTGCAAATTTTTGGAACTTAAAATTGTTTGGCTGAAAAATAAATCCATGGAATATCAGAGAATGTTAATGAAATGAGAAGGAGCAAATGTTAATGTTAAA